TCAACCGGAGGGGTTCTACAGTTCTAAAGGGGACCAGGTATGCTTGTTAAAGAAATCTCTGTATGGCTTGAAGCAATCTCCGAGGCAATGGTACAAGAGATTTGACTCATTCATGGTGTCTAATGGTTATACTCGTAATCAGTTTGATAACTGCGTTTACTCGAAGAAAGTTTCTACTGATTCCTTTGTGTATCTGCTGTTGTATGTGGATGATATGTTAATTGCAGCTAAGAACATGGCTGTAATTAATGACTTGAAGGCTCTACTAAAGGGTGAGTTTGAGATGAAGGATTTGGGTGCGGCAAAGAAAATACTTGGTATGGAGATCTGGCGTGATAGAGAAGCAAGACGGTTGTGGGTTTCTCAAGAAAAGTATATTGAGAAAGTTTTGCAGGCATTCTCTGTTGATCAGTCCAAACCGGTAAGTACCCCTTTGGCGGCACACTTTAAACTTGATCGAAGCACTATACCGGCTACAGATGAAGAGGTTAGTTACATGAAGACGGTTCCATATTCAAGTGCAGTTGGAAGTCTTATGTATGCGATGGTATGTACGAGACTCGCTTATGCGGTTAGTGTGGTGAGCAGGTTTATGGCTAATCCGGGTAAAGCTCACTGGGGAGCTGTAAAGTGGATCTTGCGATATTTGAAAGGAGCGTCTGATATTTGTCTGGTATATGATGATAAAGGCCATGGTGATGGTCTTGTTGGCTATGCAGACTCTGATTACGGGGGTGACTTGGTGAAACGAAGATCACTAACTTGTTTTATCTTCACTCTGTTTGGATGTGCAGTCAGTTGGAAGTCTACTTTACAACCTACGGTTGCATTGTCGACGACTGAGGCGGAATACATGTCAATGACTGAAGGTATTAAGGAGGGTATCTGGTTACATGGTCTGGTGCAGAGTTTGGGTCTGAAGGTGGAGAAACCGGTGTTATTCTGTGATAGTCAAAGTGCTTTGAGTTTGGCTAAAAATCCAGTGTATCATGAGAGAACCAAACATATTGATGTAAGGTTGAATTTTATCCGTGATGTTCTGGAGGAAGACAAGTTTTCTATTCAGAAAATAGCTACAGAACACAATCCAGCTGATATGTTGACAAAGGCGCTACCGACGGAGAAGTTTGAGCATTGCTTGAACTTGGTGAATATTCGTAGGAGGTAAAGCCTTCTCGGGGCATCTGGCAGGAAGGAGACGACTGAGAGATACTGACGAACCTTTGGCGGTTGGAGAAACTCCAAGTCAAGGTGGAGATTGTTGAAACGTGACTTGGATTTAGCGGTCTACCCGACCCTAAACCAAAGCGAAAGGGCTGTTTCAATTGGCAGGGTTCCTTTTGGGCTTATCCTAATTAATAACAAATGGACTTAGGGTTTAGGGTGTTTTGGGGTGCTTATAAATAGACAACTATGGTTCTTAGTCGGATGACATATTGTAAATCTCTGAATCAGTATAATAAAATCTCTCCGGTTCCTGCCCGTGGACGTAGGTTGACACACCGTCACCGAACCACGTAAAACCTCTGTGTTCTTTATTTGATTTCTTTCTCGTTTTCTCATAACACAAGACTATTGTATTGGGACGGAGGGAGTAATAGTTTATTAATTATTACTTAAGAGATTTTGATATTTTTACTCATTTTGATTTTCTGGATAAAATAATTACATGTATATTGATATGTTTGTAATTTAACTAAATATTAAATGATATTTTTATTATAAAAAAAATTAAATTGAGATGCATGGAGTAATAAAAATATATTGTATACAAAATATTATACTCAGTACATCCACAAATTAATGTCTTATTTTCTTATTTAGAGTCTTTTTATTTTTAACACAAAATTTACTCATTTTTCTTTACTTTATTCACTATTTTCTTTTCTATACATAAAATAAATAACAATTTTTGTCAACTCATAACAAAAATTTAATTATCTAAAAAAACGTGTAAATATCAATTAGAATAATAAAAAATAATCTGGGGGAGTATTAAATTACTATTTAAAATAAAAATCAGAATAAAATGCAATAAATTAAATAATGAACATATCCTTCATGAACTAAAATAAATGTTTGTTAGTCATGTAAAGAAGGATGGTCTAATGTCATGCAGATGGACTTGTGACCTTAAAGTTCAAATCTCAATTTATTTTGATTTTATTTGTGAGGTCTAACATAAGAGAATTTAAATTTTTTAATTATTGTTTTTTAAAATATTTTTATAGTTGTTTTATAATAGTGCATTAAATATATATATAATATACAAAAATTAAGTTTATTGAAATATAATTAAAAGTTTGAGTTTTTATTTTGATTAAAATACAATATTTTCAATTATATAGTATAATAAAATATATTAAAATGATATAATTTCGAATTGGTTGAATTTTTGGTATACCGATCCGAACTAATTCTAAAATAATCAAATATTCAATCTAAATTAATTCGAAAAACAAAAAAAAAAAAAAAAAAGACACCGGTTTAAAATATTTTACCCACCCTAAGATAAGTATGTTTATCTTATTTGGATAGGAATCTCTACAATCTCACCGGTAACTTTTTAATTTTTTTTAAGAAAATAATTGTTCGAAAATATATGAAAGGAAATTATAGTGTTATTTTTTGGGCTTCAATCCATTTCTTGATAACCCATGAATTTTTAAGTGTGTATTTGATTTAAAAGCGATGTTGAGATATTTGTATATTGATTTTTTATTTTTTTTAATGACATGGGAACCCAAAACTGCTTATATATTGATTTCTTGATTGATCCGAATGTGTTCATTAAGAAACTATTTTACAAATAAACATGAGATTGATTGAGGTTTGGGAAATATAAACTTACGAATAATTTGTTGTGTATTTTATTTGTTCATCATTCATGTATGTGTCGAGTTGCTGGTTGAAATGATTTTGTGCTTTGGGTAGATTTTTTAAGATTTATATACTCTTTTCGTTTCGGTGCAAGGTTGCCGTTTACTTTTTGCACATAGATTTTTTAATATTAGTAGTATAATGGATGGTAGTGAAAAGGACAAAAATACCCCTATTAGTATTGTGTAATATAAAAGTAATGACATTTGTATAATATAGTGTAAGTTGAAAGGGTATATATTATGTTAGGTAAGTAGTACAATTACTAAATTAGGAAATAGTAACCTTGTTTTGGAACGAACGAAAATAAAAAATAACAACCTTTCAGTGGGACGAATGGAATATAAGAGATTGATTTGAGTTTGGGAATGGGTTATTTGGTGCGTAGAATAATGGAGTTTTAATTAGAATTAGTTGACACGACGTTGCCAAATCGACACAAAATAATTGGATTTGAGTTAATGATTTCGATCCAATTATGTATATGGAATTATACGAATCTGACGCGATAATAAATCGATTGAATTAGGATTGAGACCATCAATTCGAACACATAACACAACAACTTGATTATACTATATTAATATTAATTAATATATTTATTATATATGTAAAATAAATTTTAATTTAATAATTTTTTAGTAAATTATTAATTTAAATTCAGTCCAACCCAAATATAATACTTTTAATAATTTTTACTATTTATTGTTTATGTATATACAAGTATTTTTATTTTTTTTTATTGACTTTTAGTTCTCTTTTGGATTGATTATTTAATTATTGTTTCTTTTTTAAAATTTTATTTTAAAATTTTTTAAATGAATAAACAGGTCCAGAAAATTTTTGGATGGAGCCATCCCGTCATGGTTGAAAATCCTTGTTAGAGCTTGAGGGCTTTGCTACTCTACACCCTTGTTCTCTAATAAAATGAAAAGTTCATTGTATATTTAATGTTTAATTAATATAATTTAATTTTTAATTAAAATAACACGCAAAATATATTTAAAATAAAAAAAGAAAAAAAAAATTGGGCTGGCCCGTTTAAAATGGGGTCGGGCCTACCCAGCAAAAGCTAAACCAGGTTGGGTCAAACTGGTACAAAAAAATCGGACTAGTTCGAAATTGTCACATGATCAAGTCAAGTTTCATATTCACGAGATATGTTGTAACTTTATGTTTGACCGGAGGTTTATTCAATGCGTACTTTCGAATAGCAGCTGCGTCTCACGTCATAAAAAATAATAATAATAATAATAAATAAATAAATATGTTGTAACTCATCAATAGGTAACACTGTATTATTGATTTGGTTCAAAGTTAGGTTGAGATTTAACAAATTAATATATATATATATTTCAATAATTATAGAATATTTAAAAAATCAATCTACATGATATTAATTTATGTAGTTGAACCTACCAGCTACATGCACCTTATGTATGAAATGAAACAATGAACAATGTATCATATACCTTATATGTTTATGTATCTTAATTAATCAAATATTTAATGTCTTGGTTAATTGATAAAAAATATAATACAAATTAAAAAAATTGCAAAAATACTTTCATTAGAGTCTTATAATACTAATAGAAGAAAATTTGTAAAAAAATTATATATAAGAATATTTTAAATATTAAATATAATAACGTAAAAAAAAAATGTGATTTTTAGAAACGAACGGAGGAAGTCTTAAATAATTAATATTAATCTTTTCGATATGAAAATTTGTCGGCCAAGCGATGTTCAGATTGATTATGAATCCTAAATATGTACAAAATATTATCTCTATCATCGAATTGAATACTTTCAAATTTTATTTGAACTTCCTTAAAGAGATGAATCAATAAATAAATAAAATAAAAGCTAAAATATGCAATATATCATTATTTTATTTATTTATGTTAAATATAAGCAAGAGTGTAATATATATTTATTTAAAAATAAAAAAGAAAAACACAAAAGTTTCATGAGATAAGAGAAATGAAAATTTTTATATATCCGGAAACAATTATATATAAAATTTTCTAAGGCAATTGAATTGGAAAATCACCCACCATCAGAAAATTATAAAATTTAAAAAAAAAAAAAAAAAAAAAACACCAATTAAAACGAAGACGACGAAATCCGGCCCTTCATTACACCTACAAAGTTCCAATCTCGACCGTTAAATAAAAAAAAAAAAAAAGATAAAAAAAAGAAATATAAAAGTTAAACCCTAAATAAAACCCTCAATCATTCCACATACTGAAGACTCCTCCCGGATTCGTTCCACCCTGATGAACCGACGTCGTTTCGCCATTCCACCCAGCAAAATTCCCGGTCGCCGCCGCCGTCGCCATATGATCATAGTCTACTTTCACAATCGGCATCTCCTCGCCGGAGCCCGACCCGCTCCCCACATACCACCCGCCGGAGCTCCCGCCGCTATCCATCACCGCCGACGACGACCCCGCCATGTTCATCAGGCCGTGGAGCAGAACCGGATTGCTCTGCAAATAGTTGCCGTAGTACTGCCCGCCGGACGTCGAATTCACGTACGACGACTGCTGCTGGAGCTGGAGCTGAGTCTGGATGTAGCTCTGGTAGTTATCCTGCCCGTAATGCCCAAGCTGTTCCTGGTTCTGGAGCGACAGCAACGGCGGCGCGTCGTAAGCCGCCGCCGCCGCCGCCGAGTGTTGCATCAGAGGGTATGCCTGGAGGGGGCCGCCAGCAGCGGCCCCGGCCCCTCCGGCGACGGGGTAATTGAAAGTCGTGCCGAGAGAGATCATTTCGTCGCGCTTCCGCGACGACTCCATCGCCTGAGCTTCTTTCAGGCGCTTGGCGGCGCCGCCGCCGATCGGGAGGGTGTTGCTCTCGAGGATCGCCTTGACGTCGTAGCGGCTCATGTCGAAGTTCGTGACGGCGTTGAGTCCCCGGAATTTAATGGCGGCGATGTCGTAGGCTTCTGCTGCTTCTTCCTCAGTGCCTGCGGAAAAAAAAAAATTGAGCATTAAAATTACACATACACATACGTGCGTGTGTGTGTGTGTGTTTTGAAGAACCCTAATTTTGAAAATTTGGGGAAAATTGAATTACTGAAAGTTCCCAAGTAAAGATCTTTGTTTCCAGCTACTCTTCCAATTCTTGCTTGCCATCGTCCATGTTGATGATGCCTATACACACACACAATATATATATATAAATGTATGATCTGTATGTATAGGTCAATATATATATATCTTACCTGGTAACTCCACGGTACATGGAAGCCCCCCTGGAAAAGCCACTGCTCTTTCTGATTTCATGAATTAGCAGATGAAGAACACAAAGATCAGAAGTTTCTGAATTAGTCAGAAGTCAGACAGTGAAATAATAAGACAAAGTGTCAAATTCTGACAAAATCTGACCATTGTCATGTTAATTAGATGCAATAATATACATATGTTTGTATATCTACACTGCCCTAAATTAATTATCTCAGAAAACATTGCAGAATGATGATTTCTTTACCTTCTTATAGAGGCCACAAATTCCTGCCTAGTCATATGTTTCATCTCCTCCAATTCTTTCTCATAGTTGCTAATCTACAATTCACAGAATTTGTGTTTTTTTTTTCAGATGTAGTAACTAAAATTTACTAAAAATTTTTATAAAAAAAGATTGGAAATTAATTTACTGGGAAATTTGTTGTGGTTGATGTTCCCCAGTACTTAAGTGCAGCAAGATCATAAGCCCTAGCTGCTTTTTCTTCCTTATCATATCCACCTGATCAAGATCATTAAACTCTTACATTAGGGGATTTGATTCCAAACAATAAAAAAAATTAAAGAACCCTAAATTAAAATTTGATAAACAGAAAGTACTAACCCAAATACACTGCATATGCCACAGACGAAAATTGTTGGCAGCATCAAGAAAGCAAAACAATAAGTTAGTGATAATGATCATATGCAGATCAGAACATAAATTACTAACCAAATAAAAAAATAGAAATAAAAAGACAACCTTTAACACTTGGGACACAATAATCAGTAGTAATCTAAATACAAAGACTATTCGAAAAAGTGAAAGTAATAATAAAAATAAACGTGCCCTTAATTTAATTTAATTTAATTACCTTGTCGACCTTTTCTTGACTGCCCTTCCCTCCTACAACTGTTGTCCCAAAGATGGGCTTCATATCTCCCTGTCCACCTATGCCTAAACACCATAGCCATTAAACCAAAACCCTTAAAAAGAATCAAATAATCTAATCTGTAATTACCTAGTAACTCCTCTGTAGATCGAAGTTCTTTGTCCGAAAGTGTCCAAGGTTCTTCTCGGAGCAGCTTCGACAATACTTGTGTTGCTCGTGTCTGCACTAGCGACAGCACCTGCACTGGCGCTGGCACTCGTCTCGCTCGTCGATCCCTTACCACTGCCCATCGAAAGTGTCAGCTGCTGCATATTGTTGGAAGTATTTTCTTGGAGATTAGTGTCGAACGTTGCGGCGGAAGCGCCGGCGCCGGCGACAGCCACCGTGTTCTGAACGGAGACAAGGCCGCCGCCGCCGGAGAACAGGTAGCCGGAATTGCCGCCGGACTGGATTTCATTGTAGGTCGAGACCAGGTCGGATTGATTCTCGGATTTCCCGACTCCGAGGAAGTCTGCAACTTTGGGGACTTCGTTGCTGTCGTGTGTGTTGATTAAATTCCAATCTGCATAACCTGTAGATAATTTTATATTTTAAAAACTAAAAAAAAAATGTATAGAACAGTGAGTAAAATCGAAAATTAGTTATTGGCTTGCCTTGATTGTGGAAAGAGGTTTCGTTGACGAGGTTTAGGGAGAAGTGGTGGGACTGTGGCTGGATGGAGGGGTGGGTGGGGGAGAGGGGGAAAGAAAGCCAGTTGTTGGAATTCATGGAGCCCTAATTTCTGTGCCCTAAATTGAAATTGAAATTTGGAATTTGGGGGTTGTTTTGGTTCTTCTGTACCCTAATTATGAATCGATCGATAATCTGTCAGGGAAGAAGAAGAAGAAGAAGAACAGAATTAGATTAATCACAGTACGTGTGGAGCAGAAGAAGAAGAAGGAGAGAGTATAAAAAATGAGAGAGATGTGAGTGAAAGATTTTAGAGAGAGAGAGAGAGAAATGACTGACACAAAAGCCTTGCCCTAATCAGAAATGGCAGCAGCAGAACAAAGCAAACAAATTACAAACCCTCGTCCCTCTGTAACTCTTTTTTTTTCTTGTTCCTCTCTCTCTCTACGTACTCTCTCTCTAGAATGTGAAGAAGCAAGAAGATGATATAGAAAGAGAGAAGAGAGGAAGAGGGCGAAAAAGGAGTAATATGGAGAGATGATAGTGTTATTTAAATGCTCCATTTATTGCATGTCTCTCTCTCTCTCTTGACCGCCCTATCCCATCAATAAACTAATACTATAATGTTTAACTGCATTCTCTCTCTCTCTCTCTCTCTCTCTAACATATATACATATGATATACATATATGGCTCCCGCTACAGAACTGAATGTTAATATAATAGAATAAAATAAACTGTATATAGGACATGAAAAAAATACATGCAATAGTCTTAAGAACACACAATATTACTACCTACATCATATTGTATAGATTAATATAATATAAATACAACATATGAACTAACCGCACAGGTTATAGTCTCGTACAACACACCATATATAGTTTATTATACTTGTATACAACACATACTTGCTATTATTAAAAAAGAACACATATTTTTATTATATACAATATATGTTGTGTGTAATACTAATATATGTTGGTTGTATATATATATATAACTCTTTGTGATGTTAATTATATATTTACATGTCTTTAAAAATGGGGTGGGTTCGTTAATTTTTATATTTTTGACAAAGCACCAACAAACAGAAGTTGTGAACAATTAAAAGCCATTGCAGAAATCCAATCGAGTTTTTCAAATTGGTGCATATATATATATATATATATAACTACCAACTGTTTGATCATATTACTACAAACTCTCCTCTCTCTATCTCTCTCTCTCTATATGTATATATGTATATATAGATGTCTCTCTCACTGCAAGAAATCTTGATATAAAATCCAGGAAAGCAGCAAATTTAATTATTACAGTATTTGCACGAGTGTGTGTAGTGTAAGATTGTGATCTTATGTGTATATATATATATATATATTTATCATCATCGATCATCGATCAGCAGATGGTCTAAAAGCTGTGGTCCTCTCAGTCTTTGTAGTAAGACAAACCCACAATATTTCCAACTGGAAGAATCCACCCCCCTACCCCTACCCGCCCCCCCCCCCCCCCGCCCCCCCCCCCCCCCCCCCCCCCACCCACTTGGGTTTATTGGGACTCTCTTCATTCCTCGTTCACTGTAAAATATGACACCCCCAAACCCAGCACTTCCACGCCACACCATTTCAAACTTTCCTCTCTCTCTCTCTCTCTCTCTCTCTCTCTCTCTCTCTCTCTCTCTCTCTATCACAGCTGTAAACAGTCACCACTAGGCACTAGCAACCTCATCTCTCTCTACATAATTTAGAAAAAAAAAAAAAAAAACTCTATGCATAATATAGATATATCATATGAAGATGTAAGTTTTGATTCAAATTATTACTTTGATTAGCATATTAAAAAAAATATAGATATATATATATACAGAGAGCACACTATATTTTGAAATCTTCACATTTTAATTATAAATATATTTCATTTCTTGAAATCTATAATAACATGTTTGTTTATATGCAATATAATGTTCAAAGTGCTGAATTAGCAGTCTATATATATATGGATGGAAGATTTTAATTAATTGCTCAAATTTAAGAGATAGAGATAGAGATGGAAGAGAATTAATTAGGGTGAGAAAATATTTACGATCGAGTGTGAAGATCCCAGTGTGGCAATGGTGAATGTGTACGGACAGGGGATATATATTATAAAATAAATTAATTAATTCAGATTAATTAATTTCCCGACATAATAAATATTAAAAGTACTGATGGGAGCATGCATGCATATATATATATGTATGTATATATATAGGAGAAATTAGATTAAATTAAATTAAATTATTATGTTTATATGAGTGATAATTACTCCAAATATATAATAATATTTAAATATTAGTATATAATTAGACGATTTTGTTTGAGGTTTCCAAGTAAAAATCTGTTGACCGTCGAATCGGAAATCGCACTCGTCAAACGTCAATATTTATTTATTTGCTGTTCAGTGCATGTCGTACTCTTACATTTTAATTCTAATTAATCTTTTATAATATATATATTTGATTTATATTTCATCTTTGTAACATTTTTATACCCAAAATATATAAGGTAATACTACGAAATATTAAATTTCTTTTAATTAACTTTTTTTAAAAATAGTATTCATTTTTTTAGCATTTAAGGGTCACATCTATCTTTTATTGCATTGTACTTAACATTAAAAATATTATTATATTTGTATATTTTTTTTTGTAAAAATGTTCTTCTATTAGTATTATAAAATACTAATGGAAATAATTTTGTAATTTTTTCTTAATTTGTACTATATTTTAATATAATAATTAATATTAAAAAAATCAATATGCAAAAAGTAAATGAAACCTTTAGAGTCGGACGAAGTTAGTAGTTGATATGATTGTGACAAAGTAAATGCCCATATATAAGTAAAATCGTTCGGATATTCCTTTTAAGATTTTATGTATAGCTTTTTATCTTTTTCTACTTTGAAGTTTTTAGTGTATTTTAGGTGAAGTAGTGAAAATTGAATGCAATATTGTGTATATAAAAGTGATGAAACTATATAATTGTTGGAACCTAATTTTCAAATACTCCAAAATTGTTCATGGACTCGGTTGGTGTGGATTCCGAAAGTACTCTAAAGAGCCTATCTGTCGTTGGATTGAAGGCGACTCCTTCGGTGGAGCTTGCACGACTTCAAGCCAAAATGACCGATTTCGATGGAATTAACTAAAATTTATTAAAAAAAAACTCGAATAAATCTACTGAAAATCAGATAAAAATATGCTAAAAACATAGATTAGAAAGAAATTAACAAAAGACAACATGAATTATAACATAACTGGATAATCTCCTAACATCTATTGATAAACTAATAAAATGATAAAGAGTTGCAGAAAAGATATATGTCCTTGTCGTGTGTGTTGTGTGTTTTATTAGATTTAATCCTAAGATCAAGTAACTACCATCTGGTTACAATTATTCTTTCCGCTAATTCCAACCGATGACTACTCCCATTTTCAATTCTCAACTGTTGGACTCACTCTTAACCGCCTCCGTTGCACTTGAACCGATCCACGGTTTCCTCCGAACCGCCTCCATTATTGCTTAGGTGGTCTACAGGGTTTTATCCCCAACAACGACTTCGAGTTGTATGGAGTCGTCAGTTCTTTCTTCTGTCGGCCTATCTTTAAGGAGTCATCTAAATAAAACATGAAGGTGTGTGGATCTTTCATTAACGTTCAATATGAAACTGTTAACCTAGAGCTAATGGAGGTTGCTGCTTAAAGGTTTGTGGAGGCTGTCGTTTTCGACCCTATGAGACAACAATCTTTTGTTTTGTGGAGCCACCACGATCCAATGAAAGTTGTTGTTTTCGACATCTGTGGAAGGAACGGACTTTGGCTTCATGGAGGCCGTAACCCTTGGGGCTCCATTGCTGCTGGGCAGTTTCACGGTTCTATTGTTGTTGAGCAGCCCCACATATTAGGGCTTTATTGTTGTTGAGCGGCGCCACAGACTAGGGCTCTATTGTTGTTGAGCGGTCTCACGGACTAGGGCTTGTTGAGCGGCCTTCATATACTGAGGCTCTTTTCTGTATTTTTGTCTTCGAACTTCCTTCACGTTCAGATGTTTTTTTAACTCATTTCCAACAATAATATACAAATGTGATCACCTCTTCTGGGGCAAATTCTTAGAATATTACTATTAATATTATTGAGTATATTAACATATAATATTTTGTGAATCGTTGTAAATATTATGTTTATAGAGTGTATTATGACAACAAGCGCTTACTAGTTCGTAAACATATCAAATATTTGTTTCTTACTCGAGTTTCATTATAAGAAAACTTGTCTAGATAAATATTATTTCTTGACTATATTACCATGTTATATTTGGTGAAACGTTGTGAATATTGTGCTTGTAAAGTGTATTAATTATATGATAATAGAAACTAAAGTGTTTGTACATATAATATAAAAATAATAAGCATGTGTAATATATTTATTTTTTTAAAAAAGTATATTCATTTTTTTTCACAAAAAGAATACACCATAACTAGTTCGTATATATATCTCAAATGTATATCAAGAAGTTTTTTTTTAAAGTATTTTCTATTATATATGAATATAAGATTGGTGTGATAATGCTTGTACCATTATTAATTTTTCTTTTTTCAATACTTTTACTATGTAATTCTTATTATTTCTTGAAAATCTACATAACTTTTTTATTATAAAATATTAAATCAAACTACCATTTAAACTATAAATACAAACCAAAGATATGCATTCATTTTACGAAAGATTTAGGCTTGTTTAGTTGGTATACTTTTTTTCAATAGTAATTTAAATATATAATATTTTATGAAATGTTGGGATGGAATAAGTGCAACCCCGATAAATTCTTGTACACTTTTCCAAATGGGCCAACTCCCGAAGCGTGGTAAAATCACAGTTGTAACATTATCTTGTCAACGAAATAAGGGCAAAATCCAAAGCAATAAAAGACAAGATATTTGGTAACCCGGTTCGGTTATAACCAACCTACATCCGGGGGATTCCAATCCAGGAGAAGTTCACTAATCAAGGTTGATTATGAACTAAACAGCCCAAAACTCCTTTATCCCATACTATAACGCAAACCACCTAGGAAAATCCCTCCACAGGTATAAGTTGTCACGAACTCGTACTGACAACTAGCAAATAGCAGGGTTGCTCAGACTTTGGACGAATCTCCTGATCGGATTTCCAATCTCTTCTTCCTCCGACGATGTCTCCGGCAAGTAAATGTGACAAGCACTCTTTCAATGCATGGAGAAGGGAAGGGTTGAGGTTGAGAGGATTTAACTTACTTTCTCTCACAACAGTTCTCTCTCTCTAACCTATGCAACAACCAAAAAACTTCCCACATAACAAACCAAGAAGCAGCCAAACAAAGCATACAGGACAACCTCAATTAAAACCCTTTGCACGAAAGTGGAATGATGTAATCCTGCATGAATTCTGTCAAAGGTTGACCACCCCAAAATTCATTC